AATGCATCCTATGTTTTGGACTTATTTGAACGGCGAGTGGATGGTGCACTGCAGTAGAGAGCGTGATAAGTGGTCGAGAATTGGTATGAATACTAGGTCGAGAGATAGCACAAATTACTTTACAGAGGAGGTAGTGAACTGTAGATGGAAACGAACTCCGATGGTGAGTCTGCTAGGTATAACCATGCCATGATATTCATTCTTCCTATTTCTGAGTGCTCTACCATCCTGGCCAATAGGAATCAACAAGTGACTAGAAGGAGTCATAGAAGCAGCCGTGGAAAGAGGAGCCATCACATCCACTCCTGGAATCCACCTAGAACACTGACCTAAAGGCTTAAGTCGCCTTTCAGCTCAAGTCAGTACATATGTGATCCATTAGACACAGACAGCGCAACAGTGATATATAGACATCTTGAAACTAAAGACACAGAACAGCTATAAACAAGTAGTAAGGATATATCGAAGATGATTTTCACTCACAATCAGCTGTTGCAAATGCTACCTCTGAAGGAATAAACTCAAACAAAGGATCACACATAAGTCAATATTCTCCCTCTATATTATCCAACTTTTTATTATGAATAAGCTACTGCGAAAGATAGGCGTAGTACTGTGGTGCTCGAATCGTATGTGGTACCGTCATGAATCACACCACTATTTTCTCAGTGTACTTTATCTAAGCCGTTTACACATTAGACAGCGGGTTTACAAACATCAGCCCACGATCCCTTCTGGCCCTACACAGAAAGGTCATAGGTATTAAGCAGCATTAGCGGAATGTCGGCCACCCCGTACCGTCAATGTGTGAGGCGAGAGACATTGGGAGTAAAGAGGAGCCGATCAGCATAGATAAGAGTGTTGTTAGACAAGGGATACGTGTGTTTTTATTCCTGAGTTGAACTGTAAAGGGACATGTGGATCTCTGGTATTGAACAGTCCGGGCAAAAAAAGAGATTCCATGGAGGGGCGAGAGACGAGAGCACGACATCATATATGAATACACCTATTAGGTCAGCAGGATAGAGACTATACTCCACTATAATTGAATCCCGTCGAACACGAATCAATACACATATCAGAAGCGGTTAGTACGACCATGGCGATGATTTGGATCACTCAGGAAAGCGTTAATACAGCGAGCCTGCGACCAACACCATGCTCTCCCCCCGAGTCACCTACCGTAAGCTAAGAGACATGCTTGGCTATAAAGGAACACAGCACGGATCACAGACTTCACGGAACCACCAGCATAAAGCTAAAGGAGGCTAAGTGGCTAGTAAAGGACAAAGCACGGTCACCATGACTTCACCAGTAACCACCGCTAAGCTTAAAGGTAGGGAGCTCAAGTTGAGCGGGCACTATAAAAACGCCACGCGTATCCGCGCGAGCACGAGCACCATTCAACGTGCCTATCCAGCGGGTGAGGTTGCAGGTGAGGGCCGGAGCCAATCTATAAGACGTGGCCAACGTCGAAGGGGGGCACCGCAGAAGTAAGGTAGGGGCCATCCACAGGCGAGGGGCACCCGAGCTCCACGGGGATGGACGGCTCGAGCCCGGAAACAAGCCCTGCGTACCGACAAGGGGCGACCTGCCAGAAGAGGTGGGCATGAGGTCCTTCCAGCACACAATAGACGAGGGCGTCCCGACCCGAGACGGGGTGCGTGGCGTGATGGCACCAGGTACCAGCTCAGCAGCAGGCACCCGTGGCGATGAAGTCCTCGCTACCGCCAGTCTACAGAAGTAAAAGGCCGTCGCGAGCGATCACATGGAACTTACCCGCACTAGTCACACTCTCAGCAGACAGCGGGGCGCGCACCCGCGCCGCAACGAGGGCACACTAAGCGACGCGCGAGCAGTGGGAGCTCCTCAGGAAAGAGGAAAACGACGAGACGCCGAGTTCCCTCCGGAGCTGAGCAGGACCCTGCCAGTGCCCAACGACGGAACCGTGGACAGGGGAGAGGCCAGACGGGCCGCCCGCGAGAGCCGCCGTCAGCAAAGAAGGAGAGGCCAGGCAGCGGAGCGCGCCCACCCCGGGCCGATGAAGGCATGGCCGACGTCCAACCGCGAGGCGAAGGAAGGCCAGCAGGGTCCCGGACCGCGCCCCACGGCCGATGAAAGCATGGCGACGTACCGAAACTGCCCGAGGGCGAGACGGTCCGGAGCGCGCCACCCACAGGGCCGATGAGGCATGGGCGACGTCCGAAACCGCGAGGCGGAGGAAGAGCCAGCAGGTCCCCGGAGCGCGCCAACACACGGGCCGATGAAGGCATGGCGACGTCCGAAACAGCGCGCAGCGAGCCGGGGGCCGCGGCAATGCTGCACCCCTGGCCGATGAAGGGCGCGAGCGTGTGTCGGTCGATAACCGCGCGTCGGGGGGTGCAAAGGCAGGAGGGTGCGCACAGCGAGGGGAGATCGGACCAGCAGGTAGCGCCACGGCACAACAGCGAGAGCGACGCTCCCCTCGCGGCGCTATCAGAGACAACCAGAGTAAAAGCTTCAAATAAAGGCCGAAACTGTTCACCAACACAAAGGAGAAAGTAGGGTGGAGCCTCGTGCCCGGGATCACACACGAAGTCAGCCACACATCCACAATTGAGAACCTCTCCACTTCACAACACGCGGCCACGCAATAGGCTCTTCTCCTCGCGCGCGCCTCTCTCCCAAATAGAGTCAGATAGCCAGTGTTAGCAGCATAGATTCATATTCTACTTCTCACACTTGCCTGTCAGAAACATAGGCAATTAACACGTTGCTACAGTAAGCCGCGAGCACTTGCTGTATGGAGGATATCCGCTGACCCCACAAGCAACGCAGTCCCCCTGTTATCAAACAAGGATATCTCATTCCACTACCCAGTACAGGAGCTCGTGACAGTCCCCCGTATGTTGTGCTATAGATACGGGAGCGAAGCTGCAAGGCGACGAAAGCGAGCGAGATACACCCAGCTTCTTATCCAGCGCGGGGCACACACTCGCGGCCTGCGTCTCTGCCGGGCGGTCAAAGTCGTCTACGGTATGAGCAGCCGCGCACGAACCAAACTACCCGGCCAATTTCGCGAGAAAGAACACTGTGATCTACTCCTTATGCCGCGCCTGAATTCCGACAGTCCGTCCGGCAAACTCTCGAGACGTGTCAGGCACCATGATGCCGAGAGATAGGAGTCAGGCGGGCACGGCATATGATCGAATCGAAAGGTACCTTATTACACGAGGCTGAGACCAATCGTATGTCCGCATATGCCAATACCCAGGCGAATACAATGTAGGGATCAGACGAACTGTCTCAAGGGGTGCACCACGAATAGTAGAAAACAGGATTACACATCAGCCACATCATATATCTAGAGAGCAAACAATACCCCCAACTGTATTCCATGGTGAATAAGAGTAACAACAGTGAGTAACTACTTGAAGCTAAATGGTGGGAAAAAACTCACAAAAAAGATAGGCAAGAGGAATCAAGAGAAGAGTGAAGTAAGACAGATGAGACTTACAGAGTATGAAGAGATGATGCATCATGCACAGAGACGTAAGAAGACTGAGTAAGGATGTTCAGGATATATAAACATATCGCAGCGACACAGAAGCCAGAGATTGAGGATGCAGACGGATATTTTATATAAAACGAGACCGCATACTTGCTCACTCTACATCCACTATATATAAAACCACATTCGTAATATACTACAGGTTACCAAACCAGACTATAGCACACAGACATCATCAAATGTAGAAAAATACTAAAGTGCTATTCAGCACTAGCGTCAATATCTTGAAATGGTACTATTATGCTATAGAAACCTAATACTCATGAGAAGAGAAAATCTACATGTGGAATTACAGTATCTCTACGTCTCAAAGGTTTGAGAGTGCAAGCGAGAGATGACATCGTCTACTTGAACCACTCGCCATCAAACTGATGATCGATCTGTACCTTGCAGTCGACTAGCCGAGGCCTATGCGTATGCATGACAGTGATCCAGGCAGTTCAACTTTGTCCGTACGTCGACGTGCCAGGGCACACCGAGGGACTCGAGTATTATAGTAGACAAATCACTTACCACGGGATCCCAGGCAAACGCACTCCCGGGGGCCCGTAGGCGACACCTGGAGGTCCAGGTGAGCTCTGGAAGATTACGCCTGGATCACATAAGAAGGCAAAGATTCCTTAGCAGAAGTCTTCAAAACAGGTTGAAAAACTCATCCCAATACTCGCATTAATGAAAAACGAAAGTGGTTTTACAGCGTCAAAGATGGTCGGGAACAGTAAACACAGAACACTGTTCTGGAGAGCAATTAGCACTGGCGCGAAGAGGAAAGGATGAGCGGAATTCTAAAGAGGTTAGGAAAGTGTCGAAAGAACTATAATTTGCATGGGAAGCTAGGGGTAGAGGGATGGAGAATTTGGTTCGGGATATTTCCAAACCTCTGGAACAAACTCCCAGAAACCTGCAGGTCCGCTGCAACTCTGACTACTTCTACATCCAGGCTGAAGACTTTGCTTTTTGCTTTTAATTGAACAAATTATCTCACACGGCACTGTAACTTTTATTCATGTTCTATTATCTTTGCTCTTTAATGTTTCTAATGTGTTTTATGCTCTTAATGTCTTTAACTTTTGTAAAGCCCTTTGAATTGCCTTGTGTTGAAAGGTGCTCTGTGAATACACTTGCCTTGCACGAACACCATGCGTGCTGTTGTGTGATCAGAGTACAGGCGGTTTTGGAAACAGATCTGTGTTTTGTGGCTGCAGGTGTAAAAGGATTTGTCGGGAGGGGGGGCAGGCCAGGACACGGCGGACGTCCTGGAGTCAAAGGGGAAGAGGGGGATCGAGGCTTCCTTGGATCAAAAGGTAAGAACCACCAACGATGTGCATCCTGGGTATTTATCCAAAAGACTTTGTCTCTAAGAAGAGTGAGCGTGCACTTCCAGACTTGTGTCTTTTACAAGCTAAGAGGGCAAAAGCTATAGAATGGAAACATGTGAACAAACCAAGTATGAATAAATATATTAAGGATCTGTCAGAATGTGTTGCTTTAGTTTAGAACAGTGCTTCTCAAAGTGTGGTCCCTGGACCACTGGTGGTCCGTGAGCGCCCCCTAGTGGTCCGTGAGTATATTGGTAACATTTCACATTTTAAATTAATTAATTAAAGTTTTCCGCACTCTCGCGGGAATATCTCCGCAATGGAGTGAGCTTTGGATTGCATGATATAGCCCAGCGCAACACCTTCGTCACACATGTTGCCACCTGTTTGTACCATTTTCAGGCGATTTGTAATCTGTTCTAAAAAAACAATGTGTTTTTTATATTTGTGGAGTTACGTGGTCCGCCAGTGTTTTTTTCTTGGTTAAGTGGTCCTTGGTATGAAACAGTTTGAGAAACACTGGTTTAGAACATACATTACTTAAGGAAAGCTGGCGGTTTTTGAAATATCTGGGGGAGTTTCATGGACTTTTTGAAAAAGAATGTTGTTAATGTTCAGGAATAAGATTATAAAGTGTCGTCGCCCACGTCATATTCTTTCAGATTTCTGTACATTGTTATCCCTGTATCATCTGTATACTCACCTGTGTTTATTTACATGCCTATTCATTTGATTGTACACTGTATCTGCCACCTAGATTGACCGTTTTATGTATGTACAAATTGGGACTACTCAATGGGACCAATCTGGTTAAATAAAGGTTTGAAATGAAATGAAAAATGTGTTGTATTAGAAAACTTCAATATAAATATATAATATACTTTAATATATATATAAAAGAACCACACGTCTAACATTGGAAAGTGTCAGGGTTTTGGCACGGAGCTGGTACGAATAACAACAACTTTAGATATTTATTTCACAAAAGCTGACGAAACACAGAAACGGGATAAACCTAAAATTCAGCTGTTGTCTAAAGATGTTATGAGTTAGGTAAGAAATGCACAGAAACACAATATGCGTATCAAAGTCCTTAGAAGACCTTAAGACTTGGATGAAGGATGAAAAAAGGGGAAAGGGTCCACATCCTTTACGAGTCTGTGCTTTGGTTTTATTTGCAGAAGTTGGCTCATATGGAGAAAAGGGGCTTCATGAGGTTCATTATTGCTAACCGATGTTTCTCTTCTTTAGAAAACACAGCATGCCACTTCCTCCTTTATTTAACAGTTAAAAAAACATCCTTTTTGAGTTAATTTAGGCATTTCATCTGATTCACCAGCTCTTACTATGGTATGATCTGCTTGAAGGGAAAATATCTGCACTTTCCTTGTTGTTCAGAGTTTTAATCTTTATGGGTTTTTATTGTAAGTCAGTCTAAATAAAAGTGTCAGCCACCTGAAGTGTCGTGATATGTAAAGACGGTTTTTGGGTCTCTACATCAGACCTTTCTTAACGTCTCTAACAATGACTAAACAGAGACTCTGTGTTTTCAGGGACCTTGGGTGAACGAGGACAGGTCGGTGCTAAAGGTATTCCCGGTCGCCCCGGCCCGTGCCAGGACGCTCCGGAGAACGACGGCTTCCTGTTCACCAGACACAGCCAGGAACTCTTTATCCCAGAATGCCCTGCAGGATCCACCCTGATGTACAGCGGCTACTCGCTGCTGTTCATCAACGGAAACAACCGAGCGCACGGACAAGACCTGGGTACTTCGAATATTTACCGCAGTACTGCACTCTGCACCTTTTCATATTTTGTAGTTAACATTCAGCTGTCTGTGGCTCTTTTCTGCTGTAATAATGTAAATGTCCCCTCCGTGGGACTAAGAAAGGGATCCTGATGCACTCATGTTGAGTTTTGAGAGATTGTAAGTACTTTGTGTTGGTCACCTTACCGGTCAGTGCTCTATGAAATAATAAACAGACTCTTCGCAGAGTTTTGATTCTTTCTTAAGAACGGTTTGGAGTCATGTACGGATCGGGACCCTTACTTTTAGTCATAACTTTCAAAAATGTATTTTACAAAAGAAAAGCAGCTACATATTGCTACCGATGGGAATGACCGTGTGTCAGATCAGTGTTGAATCAAATTCCTTATCGACCGAGGAGTGGCGGTACGAAACAGAAAGACGTCGTTGACTAATCAAACCTCTCTCTCTCTCTCTCTCTCTCTCTCTCTCTCTCTCTCTCTCTCTCTCTCTCTCTCTGCAGGTACATTAGGTAGTTGTTTACCTCGCTTCACCACCATGCCCTTCCTGTTCTGCAACACCGACAACACCTGCCGCTACGCCTCCCGCAACGACTACTCCTATTGGCTGTCCACCGACAAACCACTGCCGGGTAGCATGCCGCTGATCTCCGGGGACTCTCTGAAGGACTACATCAGCCGGTAACACACACACACACACACACACACACACACACACACACACACACACACACTAAAGGAAGTATTCTAGATGTAATTGGACCTCATAAAGGTCTCCTATCATGCAAAATGCACTTCATGATGTCTTCTCTACATCACTGTGTGTCCCTGGTGTGTCCCCCGTGTGTCCCCGATGTGTCCCCGGTGTTCCCCCGGTGTGTCAGGAGACTAACAAAGTGTCAGGAAATAAACCCCTCTCTCTTCTCCTCCGTACCCACATNACATTAAATGCGTCAACTGACAAGTAACAACATTAAATGAGGCGATGCTAAGGCAGCTACGTTTAGGAGCAGTTTCAGGTGAATCATGCAAAAGTCACTTTTTGATGTCTTCTCTACATCACCATGTGTCCCCAGTGTGTCCCCGGTGTGTCCACAGTGTGTCGCCGCGTGTCCCCGCTGTGTCCACGGTGTGTCCCCGGTGTGTCCCCGGTGTGTCGCCGTGTGTTCCCGGTGTGCCCCCGGTGTGTCACCATGTGTCCCCGGTGTGTCCCTGGTGTGTCCCCGGTGTGTCGCCGTGTGTCCCCGGTGTGTCCCTGGTGTGTCCCCGGTGTGTCGCCGTGTGTCCGGTGTGTCCCTGGTGTGTCCCCGGTGTGTCCCCGGTGTGTCGCCGTGTGTCCACGGTGTGTCGCCATGTGTCCCCGCTGTGTCCACGGTGTGTCCCCGGTGTGTCCCCGGTGTGTCAGGAGACTAACAAAGTGTCAGGAAATAAACCCCTCTCTCTTCTCCTCCGTACCCACATCTCTAAAAACGGGGAACAACGGAAATGATCCAGATTTGCTGCGTCATGACCACATTACTAAAATGTGGGCGGGCTTTAAACCCACGGGCCAATCAGAAACGTTGCTGTCAGAAACAATGAGACGTGTTCTGGAGTAATATGGTCTGTGTTCACATTAGCATGCTAACACTCAGAGCTAACCTGTACTGGAGAGAGTGTGTGTGAAGAAGCAGGAAATCAAAAGGAAGTCACCTTGTGGTAAACCTGAGAGAGAGAGAGAGTTTGAGCTCCATCCTGTTTCAGAGAGAATCCTTGATGTGGTTTGGAACATGATGTGGAGTTTCATCACGGCAGCAGTTAGCTGAGTTTCTGCTGGGAGAAATTATTATTTATTTTTATTTTTTTATAAAGCTTTAGACCCAGAATCATCTCTTTACTGACAGCTGAAAGAGAGGGGGATGAAGCTAGAATGATCTGTTTGGTATTTTGAGCAAAACACTTCCTAGACATGTTTTTATATTTATGAGACCTATAATATATGTCTAAAAATATATATAATTATAGGACACCTTTAAATAAAAAACCCCGGTTCTGTGTTGCAGGTGTTCGGTGTGCGAGGCCCGGGCCAACGTGATCTCCGTCCACAGTCAGACCAGCGAGATCCCAGAGTGTCCGTCGGGATGGGACCCCCTGTGGCTCGGATACTCCTTCGTCATGGTGAGACCACATTTACGAAACCCTGAGAGATGTCCCAGAGCTAAATATGGTGACAATGCTTCAAATGTGACAGCGACAGATGTAAAGGCAGATTTTCCGTTAATCATGCTGAGTTGTCATCTTGCAATATACTAATTTATATAAATAGTTATCACCGCAATTTGTCTTCATTTACATTATTTAATTTCATATTCTGTTCTTGTACATATCCCATATTTTATTGACATGTATACAGTATAGACTTTTTGCACTACTTTTTATTTTGTATTTGTGTATTTCATTATATTGCGTTGTTGGAGGAGCTCAGGTCAGAAGAATTTCATGCCATTTCTACTTCCTTTGAATGTTGGAAACCTTTGAATTGAAGTGGGACGTGAATAAACTGGGGGGCTTGATTTAGGCCTTGTAACTAATTCACCAGCTCTTACTATGGGAGGGTCTCGCTTGAAGTGAAAATATCTGCACTTTCCTTGTTGTTCGGAATTTTAATCTTTATGGGTTTTCAGTCAACTTTATTGTCAATCTTTCAGTTTGTGTGTACAGACAGAGAGATACGAAGTACAAATATATATCAAATATATTTATAAAAACATTGATATCCTATATACACACGATCAACAGACACTTGTTGTAAGTCGCTTTGGGTAAAAGCATCAGCTAAATGATATGTAAAGACGTTTTTTGGGGTCGCTACATCAGACCTTTCTTAACACTAGAACCGCCAGAGGTCGCTGTATACCTAAAACCGCCAACGGGTAAAATTTACCCGCTATAGATTTTCAAGGTACAATGTTATTTGCACACATGCATTACGTCCTCAACGTGAGCTCAGTCATGTTACACTATCTATAACTGTCTATCTCTCTCTCTATCCATCTCTCAATATATCTCTCTATCTATAAGGAACCGCAGTAGACAAAAGGCGTTGCTATAGCAACACGTCATGTTTACGCTGCATTTTCTATGAGGTAAATATTACCCGCTGGCGGATATAGGTATAAATGGCATTTTTTTTGGCCATTTTTTTCAATCTGACGTCATATTGACAATTGTTAACAACAGAGGGTGCTACATAACACACTTTCAGGAAAAGTCACGGACTGGGAGACTTTAATATGTTATTGAACAAAAGTTACATACAATCAAAAAACAGCTGCGGGTAAAATGTACCCGTTGGCGGTTCTAGTGTTAAACATGCTGAGTGGGAAAGTGAATAAACTGGGCGGCTTGTGGACTGAGCTCGTTAGTAGTTTTTAGTAAAAAGATGAACCCATGTGGTCGATGTTGGGAAAATGAATGTCCTCCTCCAACATGAGTTCCACATCATAACAAAGGTATCAACTGTAGCTCTGAACATGACAGGATGTGTGATTACCTAGAAGAGCATCAGGACTGTTTGAGGCATATGATAGCTATGTGATTAACATGATGATTCAGCCTCTATGGAGAGAGACATATGACAAGCATGATCATTTCTGACGTGGAGCTAATCTGAAGTAAACATTGAATACTGCTTTCTATTCCTCCATCTTGTGACTGTGTAACTCCCTCTCTTGGATATCAGCATGTGAAGGACACTGTTCAGGAACTAGTTGATGCTCTGTATGTGATGACTACTTCCATTCTGGAGAGGATCACAGATACATGGATCCTGAGATTCAAGCTCAAGCCGGGGGCCAGTGAGATTTTCAGTCTACAATGGGTTAACCTTTGACCTTTGCCCCTTGCTGTTACTGTTCTGCAGGAGACGGGGGTGGGGGCTGAGGGTTCAGGTCAGCCTCTGGCCTCTCCAGGATCCTGCTTGCAAAACTTCCGGAAGATTCCCTTCATCGAGTGCCACGGCAGAGGAACCTGCAACTACTACACCGACTCCTACAGCTACTGGCTGGCCGCCCTCAACCCCAACGACATGTTCAGGTACCTCTAATGAGACGTTCAGGTACCTTTTAACCAGACGTTCAGGTACCTTTAACCAGACGTTCAGGTGCCTTTAACCAGACGTTCAGGTACCTTTAACCAGACGTTCAGGTTCCTTTAACCAGACGTTCAGGTTCCTTTAACCAGCTGTTAGGTACCTTTAACCAGCTGTTAGGTACCTTTGAAGCGACCTTCAGGTTCCTTTAACCAGACGTTCAGGTTCCTTTAACCAGCTGTTAGGTACCTTTGAAGCGACCTTCAGGTACCTTTAACCAGACGTTCAGGTACCTTTAACCAGACGTTCAGGTACCTTTAACCAGACGTTCAGGTACCTTTAACCAGACGTTCAGGTACCTTTAACCAGACGTTCAGGTACCTTTAACCAGACGTTCAGGTACCTTTAACCAGACGTTCAGGTACCTTTAACGAGACGTTCAGGTACCTTTAACGAGACGTTCGGGTACCTTTAACCAGACGTTCGGGTACCTTTAACCAGACGTTCGGGTACCTTTAACCAGACGTTCGGGTACCTTTAACAAGACATTCAGGTACACACACAANGTTCAGGTACCTTTAACCAGACGTTCAGGTACCTTTAACCAGCTGTTAGGTACCTTTGAAGCGACCTTCAGGTTCCTTTAACCAGACATTCAGGTACCTTTAACAAGACATTCAGGTACCTTTAACCAGCTGTTAGGTACCTTTGAAGCGACCTTCAGGTTCCTTTAACCAGACGTTCAGGTTCCTTTAACCAGACGTTCAGGTACCTTTAACCAGACGTTCAGGTACCTTTAACNTAACAACGCCATCTTAACGTGTGTTTACCATAGTCGGATACACAACAGTGTCGTCAACATATTGAGATAAGAAGCCTGTATTATTGTTATGGTAACAAACTGGTGTCCAGACACGCAGCAGCACCATCACAATACGTCTGATTGTGTGTTGATTGTGTGTTTCTGCCCGCAGTAAACCGAAGCCTCAGACCGACACCGGAGAGTTTCCGGGAAATCTGATCAGCCGCTGCCGAGTCTGCATGAAGCAACTGTAACTAACTACTGAAACTACAGATACTACTGAAACTACAGATACTACTGCTGTAAATACTACTGACTCTGTACTCCTGATAAATACTCATGAGTATTCACACAACAGAGAAACAGGGGTGGGACCTAAGTACGTTTATTAAATAAAATGTTGAGGTATTTCCACGTTGCTAATTTCTACTTTTACTCCATTACATGTTGTAACCCACTGCTTCAGTTACCAGCTGCTTTGCGGATTAAGATATTCATACACAATCATGTAAATACAAAAGATACGTCCTTAAACGTGAATAAGGACTGTGTTTGTCTACATCAGTAAAATCCTACTTAATGCAACATTGATGTTAATAACATTTCAGGATGAAAAATTTAATTTTGAGACTTTAAGTCCAATTTGCTGATTAAACGACGCATCATGCAACTTACACTTGGAGCATTTTAACGGTAATCTTTTGGTACTTTTACGACAGTTCAGTATCTGAATACTTCTTCCAGTGGTATTAATATGACCAATAATACTGCTGCAGTACCTCCTGCAGCCAGGAGAGGGCAGTGCTGAAACACCACTGAAGAAGAAAGGAGCTCCTAGAAAACTTGAAATGAATGAGAACAATAATTAAATAAAAATCACATTGCTATTTTCTGCGCGGCGACTGAGTGTGGAGCCTTTTATTGGGATGATTCTCACAGCAATGCATTCTGGGGCTTGTGGTTGCCATTACAAAAATCTGCAGGAACTTCATCTGTGTTAAACCATTTTAATAAACTGGAATATTAGTATTACGTGTTTACAGTCCGACATTGTCTAATCCTCGTTGTACATAATCTTCTCCTGTAACTGTTAACGATCACTGATAACATTTGTGAATATTATTCTTGTTGAGTTTCAATAAAACATGTTGTTTTACAGAAGTGACTTTGTGTTTGAATCCTGTTCCTTATAGAGCGCTTCCTTTAATCTGCTGCATTCTCTCTGTGTTACTCTACTCCAGAAGTACATTCCCAAATAGCATATTCAAAAAACAGTTGGCAAACAGCAACACATAGTATAGGTTGTTATCATTATGTAGTGTCTCTACTTTAAAGAGTCCTCTCCTGCTGATGTTCAGGTGTATATCAGTATGTAGTGTCTCTACTTTAAAGAGTCCTCTCCTGCTGATGTTCAGGTGTATATCAGTATGTAGTGTCTCTACTTTAAAGAGTCCTCTCCTGCTGATGTTCAGGTGTATATCAGTATNAACTTAGCTGATTATGGTAGCCACCAGAGTGGCTGCTGCTTCCGGTCTTGGTTATGCGGCAGTCTAACACACGCACATGACCAAATAAGGACTATGTGGGAGTTCCCCTCGATTCCATTGGCTCTGACAGTTAGAAAGAGATGTCACATGTCAAAATCGAAGAAGGGGGGCCAGAGATATGGAAAATCTACCCAAATGGCCCCAGAAGAGGTTTATTTTGCTAAATCTGTCTAAAAAGGTCAAATATCACTTGTTTTGCATCAATCTTGATACAGGGTACTTATTATATGTTGTACTTTGGATTCCTAAAGCTTTTATTCTACTAACCCATCATCCAAGGTTAGTTTTCACTATTAGTACAAAAATATCTTTTGGACGGACACTATCATTTACAGTTTTTTACCATGTTCAATCTGAATTTTCTTTAAAATAAAAAACATCTATATTGATTCTGACTTTTCTACATCCAACTCACAGGTTTATCATTACTTTGAGAAAAAAGATTATGAATTTAACCCTTTTAGAAGGGAAGATATAGTCATTAGTTCTGGGAATGTCATTTTTGAGCCTGAAACCTGAAAAACAGGCTTGGGGCTTAAGAGGATTTATTAAACCATACCATAATTTACCAACAAAACATAAGAATACAAACTCTACAAAACTGACTATAACTAAATATTGCGAAATTATATGTTGAAGTTTATGTTTCTTGTTTACTGTGATTTCAAAATACCATTCCCCTATTACCAGGAGTAGCTGCAAAACAATATGACTGAAAATCTTAAGGTTTCTCATAGCATTACATATTTTTTGAGATAATTATTGAAACATTTCACAAGATATAAATGAAAAAAAAAATTGCTCTAATGCTTTTACTATTTCAATGAGTGATTCAACGGCAAATAACTATGCTTCATATTCCTTTCTTAGTCTTAAATGTGCACTGCAAATAGTGAAGCATAGTCATTGCAATACATGGCAGTACACATGTGTAAAGATGTGTTTATATAATGTATATAAATATAATGATGTCCCTTTTCGTGTAGGCACACGGTTTAAACAAAAGGCCAAAGGTCATTTCATTTTAAGAATGCTTGCAGTCATTGGAGACAATCTGTTATTTTCTGTGTTTTCAGGATTATGCAATCATTCGGGCAGATTTGTATGAAAGCAGAGCAAATATTTAAAGGAGCCGTTTTGGCTGGACTTTCAGTGCACATTTAGGTCAACATGTGATATTGGGAAACTATCAAAACCAACCGCGTACACACACTCCCTGTAACTGCACTGATCCAAGTTGTTATGAAAACTGGCACAGATTCTGAAGTGCAGCCCTTTGTCCACAAGGTGGCAACATCGAACAGAGAACAGCAGTTTGTAGTACTGTGTGTTCATGACAAGTGACAACCACACACTGTTTGTGTACAGGGCTATGGAACACACTAATATAAGGACTTTAAGAATTTACGTAAATAAATAGTCGCGCTGATACCTTTCTCTGGCAAGTCAACACTGTTTTCTTAAATACATATAGTAAAACCGAACCTTGCACAATGCACAGGAAGTTTTAAACTGTTGCACATAATGATCTGTCATGTGATCTGCTGGCTTCTGCTGAGTCTGCAGTACTTTGTTCTTCAAAAGGAGGGAGTGCAGTGTGTTTAAATTACAAAAAAGACAAAAACCAAACACTTCTCAGTGTACACAAATGAAAACAATAGTGAATATATAGATTGACTCATTAGGAATAGGATCAAATTAGCTAATGTATCATAATCATGTGAATTATTACTCATGAACACAGAAGTTTAACAGTGAAAAATCCTTCATATTTATCCATTAGAGAGAATAAAACTGATTTTTAAGTCCTTAGTATTCAGCATGGTGATTTTGTATTTTCTGCTGACTTAAATAAACACTGGGACTCTTCCCTGATCTCTCCAAAGTCAACCTGGGGGCCGCCCTGTGCCGGTTCTTTCCTTGTATCTGCAGGCAGAGCTGGGGTAGTCGAGGGGCTATGTGGTCACGGCCCGCTGGAGAGGCACAAATATGTGCTAAGGTCACCACTTTTACAATGTTCGGCAGTTTCCTCCCAGCTCTCTCAGGAAACCAGAGGGTAGGTAAGGTGCTTGGCCAATATTTCTCCTGACTAAAAAGACTTCCTGTTATTTAGGGGGGAGGAAGGTTGGAACTGTGTGGATTGGAAACACTGTGGAACAGCCTCGCTTTAATGTAATTCACACATTTTGTTGACTTTGTCATCTTGTGAGACAGAATATGATGACGTATTGCCACTTGTCTTACTGCTTTATGTTGTTATTTTTAGAGTGAACTGGTCAAGAGTAGTGAAGGCAGTTGGGAGTTCAAAGAACAGAGTTGGACAGAGAGGATACAATCTAAGACTACCTCAATTATGGACTGGAGATAAGTGGCTATCTTAGGTTCTGGTTGTGGTGGCAGCCGGTTCCAGCATTCACGCCCTAAATGCTGGATGTTTGGATTGTGGCCTTCCTGTAATAAACTGAGGAAAAGGACACTTCCCATTTGATAGTCTCTGTCAGCATTCTATCATAAAAATAACTAATGTGCATGTGCTGACTTTCCTTACCTATCAAGTTTTACATCCAACATGTCGTCCTGTATGCAGATGTGTGGCTGCGTTGGGTGTGCCACTGATCAAAACAGACATGAATCATTTTCAGCAGAACAGGAAATTCATAATTTTAACCCAACGTCATCAGACAGTGATGCTGGATCAAAGAGGCACGTCATTGATGAGAAAAAGGATGACCACCTCATAATCTTGAGAAGTCACGTGAATATGTACACAATATATATATATATATATATTTATTTAAAGGCATAAAGCACAATATAACATTTTCAATGTCAGCTATTATGTCTGGGGTTCGGCAAGTCTAAACAAAAATCAGATGATATTAAATGTTTGATAAGAGGTTATGAAAAAAGATCATTCCAGTGGTCTGACTGAGGGGAAAAGAGACTGCTCAGCTATCTGCCTTCTGAGGAGCTCATCTCCTGAAAATTGCCTGTCAGCAGAACACAGGATACAAAGGCAGGAAGGACGTCCTTCCTCTGTCCCTTTCTCTGTCATTTCTCAGCATGCATCGTACAACATACATTTTACTGTAAATATTTTTAACATAAGACAATATAATTTGAATTTTTTTGCTTAATAAATTGCATTTCCTGCAGTTTTTCTGGTGCCAGAACTTCATATAAAACCTACTTTAGTGTGATAGATTTAAGTACATTCAGATGTAATGAATACATCTGTCTGTTCTCATGTTGTGACTGATATCATGTTTCAGTCTTTAACGCATAATCAAGTTTATAAAATAATTGCTAATCTGGGATTGAATATGTGAGTTATTTATTTGCTTTCCTTGAAAAAAATTAAATCTCCAATAGTGAGCCCCCTAACACCCAAAAGGGGATGCAGTGAAGTCAGGTTGGTAATATTCAATTGAAGACATTAAACAGTAAGCAGCAAGATAACTTGCAGATGTTTCTACCACTTTCACTAATCAGACTAATTAGGACACTTTTTATTTGGCTCCTCAAACACTCACCTTGGAAAATTACGGGAAAAATACCAAACAAACCAAATCTTTGTATTATAAAGGATTCTGCTGCTATTTATGATTTGTGTTATACAATGTTGTAAATGTAACACTATAAAAAGGTCCATTTTATTTTATTTTGTATTAAATGTACTCATCCTTTTAGTGTCTGACCCTACTGTTGATGTTTTATAGTGTGTGAAGAAATGTCTTAAATAATGTAAGAATGAATACTGGTTCTCTGACGCTGCTTCAATGGATTAGAATAGGAAAAAAGTTTTCTCAGTTTTTAATCAATATTCTCCAGCATGCTGCCAACAGTAACATTATCACAAACCAATAATGCCGATGGCTCAGCTTTTATTGAGCTGCAGTGAAACCGACACCAGCTGTGGGATGTTTAAGTGGTGTTTCAATTACCATAAATCATGTTAAAGTTGCCTGATAATTGCATTATAAGTTCTTGTTAGGTGACGGTTCACCATAAACATGTATTTACAGAAGTGAAACCTACTACCAGTACACAGGAAAAAGCCACATTGACATCCCTACACATATTAATGCTGATCGCAGTGCTTATATACAGTATGTTGGTGAATCCTTTTCCAATAATTTGCTTCCATCTTTTAGGATTTTCTTTTGAAGCAGCTAGAGCGCTTTATCTTTTTAATTGAGGCTATCCCTGTTTATACTAACAACCCATACTTCTCTTAATTATGCCAAACAAACATATATTAATGCCTCTGCAAACAGTGAACAAAGCACTTCCTGTGTGACTTTCCTGGGAATGTCATAACTGGCACTCAGTGCTTAGAACAGCAAACATAAAAACTGTCATTACACAGCCTAATCACTGCATGGTATCGAAAAGCAAAATAGGCATTTATACTGAGGAAGTTGATGACCCATTTTCAACCATATAACTACAGTTATGCACTAACACTGCATGGCAGAGGAAATATAGTGCCTGCTTGTTTAGAAAATGTGCTGTGTTAGCAAAAGAAGAGTATCCCCTCTGGTTTGGACTTCCCCTCACTCCTTAAACATTTAATGATATGATGTTTAGTGCACGAATG